CTTGGAATTTCAAGGTTTCACACACATCTCTCAAGTCAGGATATGGCCTGCACTTCATTAACAGCCAAATCCGAACCTGAGAAAAGCACACAGAATTTGAACTTTCACACAAACACTAATGTGTGATTTACACAAAACTTTTAGTTGTGGTGAAAGTTCAAGCACACACGTATCTCAGGTTAGGATTCCGCTCTACATGGAGGTGGGTACTGTATCTTCTGGCCGAGTGACAACAACACATACTGGATATCAGTCAGTAACTCAACCCTGTTCATCTGTGGCGAGGGAAAGTCTCTTAACTTTCCAAAGCTTGTTACATGGCCAGAGGTCCCCCAGGAAGACCGGGTGAGAAACAACGGTCTCATGTAGCCTCGGGGAAAAAGTGTTTAGGTTTTCAGAGAGATGAGAGAGAGAGAGAGAGAGAGAGAGAGGAGAGAGAGAGAAGAGAGAGGAGAGAGAGAGAAGATCTCTCTCTGATAGAGAGCAGCGCGCAGATGAGCGCTATCGATTAGAGACGATTCATATATAGGCTAGCTATCTCTATCTCTTCGCGCTACTTCTACTACTCTCTCGCGTCTCCGTCTCCTCTATCTCTCTCTCGTCTACTCTCTCTCTCCTTCCTCTCTCTCCTCTCTCTCTCTCTCCTCTTCTAATGCCTACTCTCTCTCTCTCTCTCTCTCCTCTCTCTCTCTTCTCTCTCTCTCCCTCCTCTCTCCCTCTCTCTCCTCTCTCTCGCGTCTCTCTCCTCGCGCTCTCTCTCTTCTCGTCGCTCTCCTCTTCTCTCTCTCCTCTCTCTATCTCTCTCTCTCCTCTCTCTCTCTCTACTCTCTCTCTCTCTCCTCTCTCTCCGCTCTCTCTCCTCCTACTCTCTCTCTCTCCACTCTCGCCTCTCCCCTCTCCATCTCCTCTAACAGATAGAGTTCGGACCCTTTCTGACTGGAATAGGCCTGCTGGTTATGAATAAGGAAAGATACATAATTGGGGGAGGGGATGAGGAAAAACTGCAAGCATGCCACGTTAGATGGGTACAGTAGTAGGAAATCCGCAAAGGATCATGACACAATGGAGTTTGATAGGAACACCAAAAGACTGACGATCTTAGATAAAGTACGGAGCTCTGGAGCTGTGTCAAAGGGGGTAGTGACCAGCATTGCTTCCCTCTACTGTACCATCGCAGTTCCTGCCAACTCAGCCGCTCAGCCAACCACCCCTCCTCTCCCCTCCACCCATCATGTGTCTTTCATTCGCCCGTCTATTCCAGACAGACTCCGTGCTCGTCCAATCTCACACCGTTCTGCCCTTTGGCTCAGGAGCGTGGTCAATGTAAAAGTGCATCAGCAGATTAAATTCCAAACTCACGCACAGCACTTTGGAAAACAAGCGCCTCTTTTTTGAGTGATGGGATCGAGATCAGTAAACATGAAGACTCCCATGCTGTTTCATTGTTTACCACGGGTGAGCACTCAATCCATGTTATGAAACCTCAAACTGGAGACACTGCATTTGCCTTGAAGAAACAAACTCCTCATGACTCCATTTTGGAAACTGTGCTAGAATGGATAGCAACACCCTCACTATTTATCATCCTAGTGGAAGAGCTTTTCGTGAAACACTTACGGGTTAATGGGGTTATTATAATATGGTTAAATGTTAGAACTTTGGTTAAAAAGAAAATCCAAATCGAGCCTAAATCCACGTTAACGATTTTGTACCAGACAAATGACTTGACATTTCTTTTCTCCTCAAATAAGCACGGATGTTTTGTATGAATATGTATCTCAGATTAAATTCCTTTGCCACGTCTTGAGCAAACTGAATCAGCTGGCAGAAGTGACAATAGCCCGTAGAATACCTAACCATTACGACATCATTCAATCAATTATGTGAGGGGAGACACATAATGGAATGGTAATGTGCGAGAACACAAAGGACTGAAAAGCTTTTGTTCCTCAACAAATCTTTGAAGTAGATGCTAAAAAGAGTGGGTACATTATGGATCAATAACAATTGCATAAGGAAGAGGAATAAAAAAAGGAGAATTGCCCTCAGGCTTGCTCGTGAAGGTGACTTGAAGGAGCTGCTCCATTTTAGCACAAACTCCCTCCTCCTCCTCCTCCTCCTCCTCCTCCTCCTCCTCCCCCTCCCTCTCCCCCTCCCCCTCACCCTCCTCCTCCTCCTTTTTGCTACCACAAAACAGTTTAGAAAGAGACGCTTGGTTCAAAGTGCTGCTCAAATCATAGGTTTCACCTATGCTCCTAGCCACTGAATTTATTTTTCTTTGTTGACATATTTCTTTGGTTTTGATGGGTGCCACATTCATGCTGACTAAGGGGGGAATACCTAGTCCCCCTTTGCCATACTCTGTTTGGAAAGGATAGCAGGTTTTTTGTGGGGGGCTGCCCCTCGCCCAATCCCACCCCCCTCCCTCACCCACTCAGGGCATCAGTGGCGCCAGCTCGGTGCAAAATTATAGGTTTTCCAGGGCTAGAGAGCGAGGACTCACATGGTATCCCTGTGGAGCAGCATAGTGGAGAAATAGAAAGTACATCATAACATTATAGACACTCACACTCACACTCACTCACACTCACTCACACACACACACACACACACACACACACACACTCACACACACATACAAACACATACACATACATACGCATCTAAACACACGTAAACATGTTATTTTCAAATTGAAACCATAACTGGACTGCCTCATATAGCATGCACTGCTGCGGAATAGTTTGGCACGGAGTGTGTGGTGGGCATATCATCTATCCTGACCCCATTAGCCACTCTAGATATTTCATCGTGTTGACTCCAGCCGCATGTTGCGCCCAAGTACCATAGACATCCGACTGTAGAGCTTGGTTACATTTCTCTGTGGTTCTATGGTTTCCCTTTGTAGTGTTGAAAGATTACCAGACAGATACAACACCATCAACAATGTCATCCATACTTTCTATTCATGCTTTTCACAGTATTTGGCAACACCTGTATCTTTCATGGTTAAATCTAAGACAGAAAAAAAACAGCATGTCTATCCTTGTGACGGTATCATTTTAAGTTGGCTTTATGCAAGTAACTTCAGCAATACACTATTCATTCCTGTAGGCTTGATGAACAGAGTGTTCTTTTGAATGTGTGCCAACAAACTATTTGGTGAACTTGGATCCGAGTTGCACCTCAAGCTACTGCTTCGCTATTTCATGTGGAGGTGGAGCCAAAGGTCAAACACTGTTTTCTCTGTTGGTCCCTACTTGGCTCAAGGGTGTAGGGGGAAGTGGTTAGTGAGGTGTTAAGAGAGCGAGGAAGTATGGGATGGAAAGGGAGGAAATCAAAAGGCAAGACGTAGGAGAGCAACTCACCGACTGACTGACAGACTGACTGACACACTGGCAACGAGTGTTCCTGTTGAACGATTTGTCTGTTTGACTTTTTGACTTACAGCCCTTTTGTCATAACAAAGCCTTACAGGAGCTGACGTCAACCCATCCCACCTCCCTCAGCCCCTACACACTAAACAAGACAACTTAACTTCAAAGTAATTATAAACTTCTAATTGGTCTGAAAAAGTGTGCTCTTCCCTGCCTCCTCCCTTTACTCTGAGATCTGTGAGAATCCCCACCGCCCCCTTGAGATAAAGCCTGATGTGAACGGGGATCCTTGGGGCTGCTCAGCATTACCAAAACAAACCATTCAGCAAACAAACAATTAGACACTCATGAATTATGGAAAAGCTGCTAAAATAGCGTTAAAACAAGGAGTAGGGATTCGTGGAGTGATCGCTGAGCTAATTAATCCCCCCTTTTTTTTTACTCAGGCAGTGGTGTGTGTGTGTGTGTATGTGGGGGGGGGGGGGGGGGGGGATACGACACATTACTGTGGGCTAGTGAGGATGAACAGAACACGACAACACAACTGGACACAGAGAACAGAATGCTGGAAGGAGGGAGAGAGGAGGGGGAGAAGGAGAAGGGGAAGAAGGGAGGAAGGAGGGAAGGGAGAGGAGGTGAATATGGGGATGGTGTGAGGCCGGTCCGTGCGCATATGTTGGTCGAGGACTTCTCCGCCGTTTGTTCCTTCGTGATCGTCTCTCTGGTCCTTGACTCTCTGCTGGGTGCCGTGGGTGTCTGCGGGGGGGGTTGGGTGTGGGGCCGGGGGTGGGCCCCTCCCCGGGGGGGGGGGCGCGGGGGGCGGCCGGCGCGACGGTGGGGGGCGGGGGGGCGGGGCCGGCCGGCCTGGAGATGGGGAGGGGGGGGGCCCCTGGGGGGCGGGCGGGAAACGGTGGGGGGGGGGGAGGGGGGGGAGGGGGGCGGGAGGGGGGGAGGGGGGGGCGGGGTGGGGCGCATGGAGGGGGGGGGGGGGGGTGGGGGCCCGGGCGGAGGATGGGGGGGGGGGGCGTGGGGGCCCGGCGCGCGGGGTGGGGGGGCGGGTCGGGGGGGGGGGGCGGGCGGGCGTGGGGGGGGGGCGCGGCCGTGGGGCCGGGGCGGCGCGACGCGGCGGTGGGGGGGAGCGGCAGTGGCGGGCGGGGGCGGACGGGTGGGGGCCGACGGGGGGCGCCGCCGTGGTCTTTCCTTGCCCGCCTCCCGGCCGGCGCCGGTCGGGGCCGGGGGCGGCGCCTTGCGTGGGGGCCGTGGCGCGCGCTGCTCGCGCTCTTCCGGCGGTGGCGGCCGTGCGGGGCGTCTCTCCTCTCGCGCCGCGTTGCGCGGGGCGCGCGCTTGCCGGGGTCCGCGCGCGCCGGGGGTTCGCCGCGCGCTCTCGCTCGCGCCGCTCTCGCTCGCGCGCGCCTGCTCCTCTCGCTCTCGCCCGGCGCTCGCCGCCTCTGCGTCGCTGACGGCCTCGCTCTGGTCTCTCCGCGCCGAACGAGCCCGAGAGAGAGAGAGAAGAGAGAGAAGAGAGAAGGGTGAGTGCCGACAAACACAGTGCACAGTGATGGGGGCGTGCGTTTTTGTGGCGAGTGGCTGGGTTTTTCCCTCTTTAGGGAACTCCCTAGCCGTTTACCTCTCGCAGACTCGCACCGTCCAGGCGGCGATGATCCACGAGGAGATGCTGAAGACCAGCAGCACGGTGCCGGGGCAGATGGTCATGAGCGTCTTCATGACGAAGCGCGTGTTGAAGTTGATCTTGTTGAGGGCGCCGATGCTGCGTGACGAGGCATCCGTGAAGAGCTTGCTGTGCAGCAGCATGACTCGGCCGATCAGGTAGAGGCGCAGGAACATGGGGATGGAGAGGATGATGTCCACGTCGGCGTTGGCCGTCGACGGAGTGTAGGTGAAGGCGATCCGCGCCGTCCACGTGAAGCGGTAATGGCCCGGGATGGGGTGGATGGCGCACACCAGCAGCTCCAGCACGATGAAGAAGATGCGTTCGTACGTCATGGCTATCCTCCAGTCGTCCGCCCCATTGTCCACCATAAACAGCTGCGGGAGAAGCAAAAAGTAGCTTAGTTATGCTTTATTTTACAGTCTTTATATACTTTTTTACAGTAGTTATATACTTTATTTTACAGTAGTTATATACTTTATTTTACAGTCTTTATATACTTTATTTTACACTAGTTATTTACTTTATTTTACAGTCTTCATATACTATATTTTACAGTCCGTAATACATACTCTGCTGTTCTATCTCGCGTGCAATGATGTGCAATGATGAAAGAAAACTGTGTTCGTTGTTTGAAGTAATTTCTTTGTTGTTGTAATATTGCGAACGGACGTGGCAGTTTCACCGCTGTGGATTACAGCTTTAATAGATGCCACACTTTTTAAAGAGCCTTAAAATAAGTACCAGTTATTTCAGTAATTTTCTGTAAATATCATAATATAAATCAGCTGAATTAGGACTGTAAAATATCTAATATACCCAATTAAGTTGACCTGTTTAAATGTTGAATACTTTTTTAAAAAATCTACTATAATACTACTATTTATCAATAATAGGCATCATCACACTCAATAATCAAACTCAATGTTCAAGCAATTCAGGCAATCACCACACCGGCCCATAAATGACAACATAATGAAAAGGTATTTCCTGCCACATTGTTGCACTATTTCGACTCACCTGGATTTCCCGGGCATGGTACATTATTATAAGACCAAGCAATATAACAGTGGAAAGGCTGATAAGGCATTTCAGTGCAAATGAGTACGAAGATTCCTGTAGTGAGAGACAGACACATAAGAAATATAGTTTAGAGATACAGTAATATTGAGGAGAAATATAAATATATAAAATAAATTAAGAATATTTTTGACGATTACATAGCATGTACAACCTATGTTGACTTTCAGAGGAGTGGTCATACCTTGGCTTCACCTCAGAACTGTAAATGTAAAAGCATTAATATAAACTGCGTAAGAAATCTTCAACTTAGATGTGTTTTATTTTTGTGAAATCATTTAGGCAGTCTTCATGGTGGACAAATACAAATATATTGTTGGCTGGAGTGAACAAGACCAAAATAAATCCATCTAACTTCTATCTTCCAAAAAGGTTTTCCTTTAGAGTGAATGTAGCTAGTAGTAGGGAGAGGAACACAGACAATGAAAACACCACATATTATTAGCTTAGAACCTAATGAGACAGCTGAGGAAAGGGGTTTGATCTAAAAACAACAGCATCACAGTGTTCTCTCAAAACATGACAGTAGCAGGAAGTAGAGGTCAAACATTGGCTCTAAACAGTATGCAAACTTTTAATTCATCATTCATCTAATAGTAGCCTGGATGCAGAAACGGAGCCGTTATGTTGTGCACCTTCTAGCATTAGCAGGAAGCGACCCACCGTGAGTGGTGGGAGTGATGAATTGATCGTTTGGATGCTAGAGCTGCAACGCCTATAAAGGGGTCATAGATCTTTGGAATAAGGACCTGCACTACTAGAGTTCCCTCTGTGGGTAAAAAGCGGTTTGATGAATCAGCTGTAATAGTGGTGGGAATAAAACATGTTATATAATGAATTGGGGGGGGGGGGGGGGGGGGGGGGGGGGGGGTTGTAATCCTGACAACAGCGACAAAAACAACAATAGGAATCATTCTTAAATAATCGTCACGGGCGATTGTAAAAGCTGCCCATTGCTCTGTTGTCAAGGCTGCGGACGACCAAGTCGTTGTAAATGGATGTTGATATGCTCTCTTGGGGTGGGTCAGTTCAATTTCAACTCAGGTCAACTCGACAATTAATCTAAATTTACTTTGAAAATTGGTTAATAGAAACCTCATAGACACATATCGGCAATATTGAATTTATCAATTCAAATTGGCTGGACTTAACCAAAACATTGCTGCTCAATCTTACTTTACCTCATGCAGTTGTAAAAAATCCAGCTACTACTTAGGCCTATCATGCTGGCTCGTTGCATTGACTATGTGGTGACGCTAGCCAACAGTGCAGTCTGGGAAACATTGGGGCCAAACCTTTCCTTAAGTGCACTGTGACAAATGTTCTGCACAGAAAGCACTGCCCAAATCCAAATTGATTGGTTGATGAAGCTAATGATAGGTCAGGGAGTCGTGACCAGGCCATGGCGACCCTGAAATTACAACAGCCTGCCGCCATGTTGGGTTGTCCTGACACTCCCACGCGCTGGGCAGAGATAATGTCAGACACTTTGAAGCAGCTCTCTCTATTGTGATTGGGCAGCGTCGTGTTTGGCTGCAGGGCAGGCTTCAAAGTGACTCTCAAAATACCAGCAGCAGCTTAGTGAAAACAGCCCTTTGCCCAAGCTCTGCCCTCTGATACTGCAGTAGTTGTCTATTCCAATACGAAATCAAACAATTCAAAAAGGCCATCCTCATAAATATGATGTTCAGGCAGGTTTTTGTTTGAATCGCAATAATTGTCATTCTACTTCCACAGATATCTCTGCAGTTCACTGTGTGTTCACCATGTTTAACATTACTTCATATCTAAACATAGTATACTCCGAGTCGTTATTCACGTCATAAACAAGTATGGGGGAAAACAACTGCCATTTGCCGTCTGTGCCCATTCAACATAGCCTAGATTTACGTAGTTATAACTTCAAAACTAAATCATTTTTGGTGGAGTTCTCATAGGATTACAATGTTGTTTTGATTATTGCTTGAACAGTTTCTAAGATTACATTTGGTTGTGATAGTTGCAAAAATCCTATTTTGAATGCAGCAGTTAGCTAGAATGCTAACGCTCATTGACATTTTACTGGTTGAATTTGAAGTGTTTAAGTATAATGCAGTTGATTTGCGACGATGACACAAACAATATATTAAGCAGGACATTCATACAAGCCTTACAATTCAATTATAATCCAAAAGTAGTGTGAAATGGATTCATAAGCAACATGAGGCTTTTTTTGCTGGCGGTCTATGAGAACTCCCTCGTGTTTTCCCCCACAGTGGGGAAATTGTGTATAGCGACTCAGAGTATAGCAGTATTGGAGGTATTCAACAAACAAAAAGACCACCCACACTAATTACCTTGCCGTAAACTCCCCAGGACAGTTCAGTCTCAGTCACCATGACGACGATCCCGAACATTCCGAAGATGAGGGCGTAGTCACTGAGTCTCTTCCGCTTCTCAAAGAGTGCCCTCCGGTGGCCGAGCCTATAGCCGATGTCCTTGTTCTTCTTCACAGGAGCACCGTTTCCGTCCCTGACCAGGCTCTCGTTGGACGCCTTGCTGGGGTCCTCGCCGTTGCCCTTGGATATCACCACCTCCAGGCCGGAGCTGTGCAGCGTCTGGAGGGGCTGCGTCTCCGAGTCGAGCTCTGCTAGGTTGCGCCGCGAAGACGCCAGGCTGCCCAGTGGTCTCACTACGCCGCCATTGTACTTGCAGGTGTTCATGGCTATCTGAGGGAGTCGGCCGCTGCTCTCGGAGAGGGAGGGCTTGGATCCAGCATGGCTCAGCTTCTTCTGCTCAGTGGCTGCCTGGCAGACAAAAACACAAGCGGATGTTAGAGAAACAGACCACCAAATCGGTCTGGTGTCAGAGAATGGGAAACTACAGTATAGTCCTCCTTCTCTGAGGAGCACCTTTCCTTTATAACTTCAATTTGAGCAATGTCCCATGGGCCGGAGCCGGTCCACAAACCAGAAGCACGAACCAGAAACACTGCCCTGCACTAAATCAGTGCTTAGGGATGGCAATCTCTGTGTTGTGTGTTCTGCTGTACATTGCACGCATATCAGCTGTCCCTCAAGAAAAGCGCATCCAAATCTGCAGGGCAAAAGCACATGAATAATAAATGGAGATGGATGTATAAATAAAGCCATATAACTAATAGTGGACCCTACAGTGCAGAAAATGTCCTCTTTGCGCTGCACAAATTTTGTCATGAAAGATTAATGTGCTGCGTGACCTTGTTTTCTGTTAAAGAAACACTCTTTCCTGCAGAGCCCAGAGTTGGGGTGTCCAAAAGACTGAGTGACTGAGTGAGTGGTGCTTCTATAATCAGAGATGCAGGAAAAACTGAATCAAGAGTTTCTGCAAAGGGAAAACAAGGACATTCTTCAGCCAAAAATGCGTCTTCGTCTCCTCTCTATATGTCAAAAACTGCATCTAAATTGAAGAGGGATCCTGCTCAGCCCAATCCCGTGTGGCTCAGTTGGTAAAGCATGGCATTTGCCACTCCAGGGTTGTGGGTTTGATTGCCATGGGGGACCTATAAGAGAAAGTATGAAAATGTATGCACTCACACTACTGTAAGTCGCTCTGGATAAGAGCGTCTGCTAAATGACTGAAATGTAAATCCTTGATCCAGAGTGTGATTATATTGCAGCGCTGGTTCAAGGAGAGGCGAGAATTAAATTAGGTGGGAAAGTAGAGGAATTGAGGAGTTACACGGACCTTGGAAGTGCAGAAGCGTATACAAATGGCAGTTGAGTGTGCATTCCAGCGGCATCTCCACAGCTCTTCTGGGAGTTCACTTAGATTATCATAATGGCTTGTAAAACTAATAGCGGGGGGTGTTTGACAACACTGCCTTTTCATTTGGCTTGAGTGAGCTCCCTAATGCCTCTAAATGTGTTCGGAAATAAACTCTGATTCCCATAATGGAAATGTACTACAGTAAGTCCGGCCCACTGACGCTATCTCCTGACACAGACCAGACCAGACTAAAGGTTAAGGATTAGAGGGAACCATAGTGTTCTAATCCCCTTTACTCTTTTAAAGAGCTTCATCATCAGAGCCATTAAGACCCCTCTATGAAACGTATTTCAGATAGTTCCTACTATAAAGGTTGCTTGAAAGACCTTAAACGTCATTAGATATTAGCACCTCTCCTTTTGCTTACAAAGGTGGGACAATTACAGTTCCCTAGCGACGGCTATTTGTCATCATTAATTTCCCCAATAAAATGACCATTCATGTGTTTTATTTCATGAAAATAAAACACAATGACAAAGTTTGCTTTGTTCAGTGATTAAATGACAATCGATCAAAGCAAATGGACATGACGTTACTGCCGTATCAGCCAAGGGAAGTAAACTAAAAGCAGCCATGACAGGTTATTCCAATAACACAATGAACAGGATTGATGGAGAGAGATGGAGAGAGATGGAAGAATGCGCTTCTCCCGTTGGCGTCGGTCTCCATTTCTGACCATTATGCTGCAGACTCTCTTGGTGGTTGAAAATATACCACTGACTGCTGACTGACTGACTGCTAGATGGGTGTGTCCATACCGTATAGGAGACAGCACAAGAGAAATACAAGAAGGTAAGATGGATGTACAGTAATACATAACCTTTTTCTTCAGGCAAATCTCACATGGATATCCCATAAGAGCTCACACTGTACCTTCCTCGCAACTCACAACACATAATATACTAAATTTTTACATTTTAACTACTGATTCTCTATTGTGATGCATTTCATTTAGGTGAATTCCCATGCATTTCAGTTCATCGTATTTGACTTCCAAACAGAATAAACAAAAAAGTATGATGCATTTAATAATATCCACTTAAAACCACACTCTTTGCCATGCTGAGGGTGCTCTCTCCTGTTTCTCACCCCCGACGAAAAGTGTGCGTTCTAAATGGTACCCTATACCCTACACTATATAAGGAGTAGGGTGCCATTGGGACACAAAGTGTTCCGTGAGGGGCACAACAGGCCGCGGTTGACTTTGTCCGCTGATCCTCCTTCAGAAGGAGACATGGGATGGCTGTCTGTCCCGGCGAACGCTTCAATTTCATTCTGAATGGCAGACAGCATCCTGCCCGTATGAAATGGAGCCTCCTAATCAAATTGAAAAGCCACAGTGCAGAACAGTTTATGACAGTAATGAAACAATGCAACTTGGAATATAGGACATGCAGGGATAGCGAGAAGATATATCATAGAGAGAGGAGCAGAGGGAGAGATAGGAGGGCGAGAAGATGAAGAGAGCGGAGAGAGAGGAGAGAGAGAAGTATAGAGAGTAGGGGGAGAGGAGATGAGGAAGGGATAGAGAGAGAGATAGAGAGTTAGAGAGGACAGCGAGAAGAGGAGAGTATCTCTCTTGATAAGAGATATCTCTCTCAATCCTATAGATATATCTCTCTATATCTCTCTTCTCTAATCTCTTCTCTCCTCTCTCTCTCTCTCTCGCTACTCTCTCTCTTTATGTATGCTTGCTTGCTTTGCTTTACTCATCCCTCTAAGAGTGCGTGCATGTGTGTGTGTCTTGGCCCAACTGGAAAATAGTGGGGAGGGAGAGAGGTGTGTGCCTGCCTGCTGTGTATTCGGACATGTGGCACATGTGTGGAGGGGGCCAACTCATACAGGGAAAATGAAGGGACACGAGGGAGGGTGGTGAGAGGGAAGGAAATAAAGAAAGAGAGGACCCCTGGGGACCTCCTCAGCCTGCCCCTGTTGAGATGGAGAGCTGTAGGCTATAGTTGACGGTTTGTCACGTTGTCATATTTCTGTGACAGGCTAGGGCAGGGCAGGGCCGTCCAACCCAACCAACAGCGCCAGCCAGGATCTCAGTACGTCTTACTAGTAAACATGTAAAACACCACCACCCATTCAGACTGTCTATGTGGCTTTGAAAATGTTCATACTTTTATAGACAGTATAACGACAACGTTTCAATGTAAACGGTGCGACCAATTGCTTCTAGAATCCTTGCTGTGTATTATACTGTACATACAGTATGCACAGTTAACAGCATAAACTCATGGTTTACTAATATATACTGAACAAAAATATAAACACAACATGTAAAGTATTGGTCCCATGTTTCATGAGCTGAAATAAAAAATCCCAGAAATGTTCCATACTCACAAAAAAACGTATTTCTCTCATAGTTTGTGCACAAATGTGTTTACATCCCCTGTTAGTGAGCATTTCTTCTTTGCCAAGATAATCCATCCACCTGACAGGTGTGGCATATCAAGAAGCTGATTAAACAGCATGATCATTACACAGGTGCACCTTGTGCTGGGGGCAATAAAAGGCCACTCTAAAATGTGTCGTTATGCCACAGATGTCTCAAGTTTTAAGGGAGCATGCAATTGGCATGCTGACTGCAGGAATGTCCACCAGAGATGTTGCCAGAGAATTGAATGTTCATTTCTCTACCATAAGTCATTTTAGAGAATTTTGCAGTACGTCCAACCGGCCTCACAACCACAGACCATGTGTAACCACATCAGCCCAGAACCTCCACATACGATTTCTTCACCTACGGGATCATCTGAGACCAGCCACCCAGACAGCTGATGAAACTGAGGAGTATTTCTGTCTGTAATAATATCCTTTTGTGGGGAAAAACTCATTCTGATTGTCTGGGCCTGGCTCCCAAGTGGGTGGGCCCATGGCTGCGCCCCTGCCCAGTCATGTGAAATCCGTAGATTAGGGCCTAATGAATTTATTTCAGTTGACTGATTTCCTTTATATGAACTGTAAAACAGTTGAAATTGTTGCATGTTGCGTTTATATTTTTGTTCAGCATATTTGTAATCTTTCTAAGAAAGTACAATCCTATGTACAACAGTCAGCGTGCATTTCCCAGAAGAAAAGACAACTCAGCAGGAGTTTTCCTCAGTGGAATCAGTATGGGTCGTCCTTTGAGCAACGCCTGTGGTTAAAATGACTGCAGTTTGATAACAGGCACAATTACAGGCTTCCCGAAGCGGCATTATCATCCCCCTCTTCTCCTCTGAGATGAAAATATAAATAAATTATGGCCAAAACAAGAAGGAAAAAAAACTACAGAGATGACAAGACAGGTATATTACCCGTGTTGGTCATTGTTAGGGCTAATAATGCACTAGGCGTTCAGAAGCATCACAATAGTGCACTGATTAGGACACACAAAGCTGTCCCCTCGAAAGGAGACACACACTCTTAGAAAAAAAGGTGCTATCTAGAACCTAAAAGGGTTCTTCGGCCGTCCCCATAAGAGAACCCTTTGAAGAACCTTTTTTGGATCCAGGTAGAACCCTTTTGGAACCCTTTTTTCTAAGAGTACTCTACGTAGAGTCTGAATAAGACTGTGATCAGAGCGTTCTAACTGAAGGTTGTAGGACTCTCTTGGGAGAAATATACAGTAGGACATCATTAGTAGCATGTCTTACTTTTTCAATTCCAGACAATTCAGAGAATGAATTGGAATTCAGTTCTCGGTTTCGAAAATTGTCCATAGATCTATGAGGTGTTCTCATGAAGTCATTAATTGAAATTTTACGCAATTACGGAATTTACTGGAATTTATCGTTGACTTGACTCCCTGAATGTGTTCAGCACATAAGTCGATGACAGAATGTAAATGTAAACATAGATAATGCTGGAACATACTACCCGGGTATTGTTAGTGCGTACTACCCGGGTATTAGTAGCTGTGCATACTAATACCCGGGTATTAGTCGTGCGTGCTGCCCCAGTATTAGTAGGGCGGACTACCCGGGTATTAGTCGTGCATACTGACCCGCTCTTAGTCGTGCGTACTTCCCCGGTATTAGCAATGCGTACTACCCGGGTATTAGTTGTGCGTGCTACCCGAGTATTAGTAGTGCGTGCTACCCAGGTATTAGAAGTTGTGCCTACTAATACCTGGGTGGTAGTCGTGCAAACTACCCGGGTATTAGTCATACGTGCTACCCGGGTATTAGTTGTTTGTACTACCCGGGTATTATCTGTGCATATTAGTCGTGCGTGCTAATACCCAGGTATTAGTCATGTATATTACCCAGGTATTAGTCATATGTTTTACCCGGGTATTAGTCGTGCATGCTACTCCAGTATTAGTCGTGCATGCTACCCTGGTATTAGTCGTGCATGCTACCATGTTATTAGTTGTTTGTGCTACCCCGGTATTAGTTGTGCGTGCTATCCGGGTATTGGTCATGCGCGATAATACCCGGGTATTAGTTGTGCGTGCTACCCCAGTATTAGTTGTTTGTGCTACCCCGGTATTAGTTGTGCGTGCTATCCGGGTATTGGTCGTGCGTGCTAATACCTGGGTATTGGTCGTGCAAGCGACCCGGGTATTGGTCGTGCGAGCTACCCGGGTATTGGTTGTGTGAGCTACCCCGGTATTAGTTGTGCGTACTACCAGGGTATTAGTCATGCGTACTACCAGAGTATTAGTTGTGCGTACTACCAGGGTATTAGTCGTGCGTACTACCAGGGTATTAGTCGTGCGTACTACCAGGGTATTAGTTGTGCGTACTACCAGGGTATTAGTTGTGCATACTACCAGGGTATTAGTTGTGCGTACTACCAGGGTATTAGTTGTGCATACTACCAGGGTATTAGTTGTGCGTACTACCAGGGTATTAGTCGTGCGTACTACCAGGGTATTAGTAGTGCGTACTACCAAGGTATTAGTCGTGCGCACTACCAGGGTATTAGTACATAATGCTTCACAGCTTTAGACTGGCTGGCAGAATTTGCAATGGTCCTCACAAAATGTGGAATTTTAATGTGACAGAATGTGACAAAAATATAACAAATCCTTACTTTTCTCACCAAACTAAACATTGATGTGTGACTCCAATCCTAGTCTAATTTTGTCTAGCTGTTGAATATGTAAATGCAACAGAGCAGCATTCCAAAGCTCTGCTTATCCTCTCTGGCGTGTTCCTCTTTGCTATTGGCCCATTCCCCTCCATAGAATCCAATTACCGCTTGATTGATGCTTGATTGATGTAGATATATTCTAGATTAGGTGGAATACCCTACTAATACACACATACAGACA